TTCTTGTTGCTGTTACTATACAAATACCGTTATAGATAAGTTGTTTAAGTTATCGTTATTAAAGTGTAAGGATATTTCAACACCGACCTTGGCAATCTTATTTATATTACAAACCCGGGAATCATACATTCCTGCCTCATCCAGTTGTACAAATTATTTTACATTACACATGTTTTATTTTTAATATTTTATATTCCACCTTCCTTAACTAACACCTTCATCATCCGAGTGTTGCCAAATTTCGTTGAGGTTAACATATGTTTATATAGGGACCTTGCATGTAGCTCGGTTGTGTCCACTTCCCTTGCAACGGCTGCACACATGTTTATTTCTTGGTGCTTTCATCTATAAAATAACAAGTTAGGTCGATAATTGTTTTATTCAAAACCAAATTACAGTTGTTAGGAAATACCCGTATTTCTCCGGTGGATAATATCCTCCTCTTACGGGGGCGTCCCGGTGGTCGCCTCGTAGCAGGTGGGAGGACCTCAAATGCAGGTGCTTCTGTTATTTCAGATAGTCGGGTATTGATCTTGCTAACCGGAAATATATTAGATCTATAAGCTGATGCAATACATTCTAAAGTGTACACATCTGCAGCAAGGGATTCGACTCGTACTTGTCCTTTGATGGAAGCAGCAATAGCATGTGAACAAGGTATCATTAGGGTTTGGAATACATTACAACTACAAGTTTTGTTTCGTAGGTTGACGTGGAAAGATCCTCCTTCTTTGTCCTTCACTTCATACTCGGCACTATTTATCTTGTTTGCCAGCATCCCGCCGCATTGTTCAAAATTTGCTGTAACTATCTCAACAACACGTGGGCTTAAAAGGTTCCTTTCATTCGTCATATCCCTACGCCTTTCTGCAAACCAATTCATCAGTTTTGATCTATAAAATTCAACAAGTGGGAGTATAGGATACTCTCTAGCTTCACGAAGAACAGCGTTCCAACTCTCAGCAACATTAGAAGTCATAATGTTGTACCGATTCCCACTGAAATGCACCCGTGCCCAATGTTCAAAGCCAATTCCTAATAGGTACTCAGCGCAAGAAGCATTGACTATTTTGATTTGGTTGAACACAACATAGAAATCAGGAAGACAAAAAGCCCGTGCTGCTTTGCCTACAAGGTAAGATAGATGCTTGTTTTTGAAGTAAGTACGTATGTTTTGTTGCAAATGTAAAATGCATGCACAATGTTTGGCCTCAGGGTAAACCTACAATGAAAACGGATTACGAATTAGTTACTAAACTGTTTAAGCGTGTCGACGTTCATATGGTTTAAAACGCAACTGGTAAATGCACAACCAAATACAACAATTATTTACTAAACATAACTATAAGCATATGTTGTTTAACTTATAATTGTGTACCTTAGATATTGCAACGTAAATCGACGCGTGCCTGTCGGAAACAAAGACAATGTCTTCCTTATTGGGGATGAACTCTAATAACTTTTCGAAAAACCACTCCCATGCGTTGTCATTTTCACCATCAACAACACCCATTGCGAGAGGGAAAATCTGGTAGTTACCATCTTGGGCTGAAGCGGTCAGTAAGCAGCCACCATACTTACCTCGTAAGTGGGTTCCGTCGACAATAATAACATTACGCATATGTTTGAACCCATTTATAGAAGCACCAAGCGCCAAAAACAGATACTTGAATCTATGACCAACACCTTCTTCGAATTGTGTTTCCATGTGAGATATAGTTCCGGGGTTTGCTACCACTAGTCTATGAATATAATCCGGCAGCAAGTTATATGATGCACTGGAAGATCCTTTTTCGAACTCGAGTGCAACTTCACGGGAGCGCCACGCTTTCCAGTACGATATGTTGACATCATGATCACCGAGCATTACTTGCATTATCTCATTAGGGGTTGGTGTACATCCATTACCAACAAATCTTGCCCTCATCACCTCTCCAATAATACCATGTGTGGCTTGGCGTTCATATCCTGTTAGAGTATAAATTATGTGACATATTTTCAATTTAAGTTGTTTGAGTTGGGCAATCAATCGGAAATTAAAGAGTTAAGACGGTATTCTTAAACTTCATCAATGGAGTAGATAAGGTAATTCAAAAATCACCTACACGGTCATCAACCGAACAAGAATGATCTAATGATGCTTTTCGGACTTCATACTTGTCAATATTTTTAATCTTTGTTGCATACACCCGCCACAAACATGTGCGGCTAATGCATCTCATGACAATTCCTTCTGGAGAAGAACGGGTGTTTCTCATCCTAAACTTGTTGCGCAAAGCATATAGTGCCATCTGTTGTTTGAAGTGTCCTTTATTTGAAAACACCATTCCTTCGTAAAGATCATGCAGTCTTATACGACTGGTGCCTGCCAAGTTAGATTTTCTCGTACAAATTAGTGGTTCAAAGCGTTGATTATAGGAAACATATTTTACATAAATATCTTACATTACATAGTGCAGCACACATATTAGATATTGCATCATTCCGTTACCATGAAAAACCAAAAAAGGATCACCCCGTAGAACTATTTTACATAACATAACCAAACGTTATATTTTTTTCGATTTAAAAGAAAGGATCAGACCCAAACCCACCACTGTCCCCGTCAGCCTCAGAATCAGTGTCCTCTATGTGGATGATGTTTTCACTGCCAAGATTTTTATTTATTCCAATGCCAAGTGTGAGATCAAGACTTGGTTCTCCATTGTGAGGACCGGTTCGGCCATTGGTGACGTGGCTTTCTTGAGCTGTGTTGACATATTGTAAAGCCGGTGTCGCGTCTCCTGTTTTTTGGAAGCCAACCATAGAAATTATAACAGTATGTAACAAATTTCACAAGATATATATATTGAAAAAACATAAGTTTTGTTTTTTCTACCTTCTTCGCCAATGCTTGAGATGAGTATAACGTTTTCTGCCATCGGAATGGGTGGAGGGAACACATGGTTAGTTGGATTGATGTTAAAACCGTCCGAGGAACCGGTGTAAGATGCCTCAGCTTCATCAACAAGAAGAATAGACGTTGGTGTTTGGGGCGCTGTGATTCTGAGAGAAGGTCCAATGGGAAGTCCTGCCGAACCGTTTGTTGGACGGGGGGACGGGGAGACATGGACTTGCGCATTATCTTGTGCATGGAAAACACCATCCCAGTATGCCTGTTCCTCCTCAGTGACCACTTCCGGTATAGTTTGTGAAGGGGGGATTTGCGTAATTGGTTCCACTGCCAGTGCCATTACATCCGTTCCTATGTTTGGAGGTGCGAAATTAGTAAACGCACTTTGGAGCTGTGCATCGTTTATAGGTTCTTCGTGTAACACTACAATTGCAAACAGAACGTGTAACAAGTTGTTAACCGTTTTATATATCTGAGAATGTAGTTTATAATATTAGTAGGTACGTCTAAATATGTGTTACCATACTACTAAAACATGAATGACTTACTTAGTGTCCCCCTTATTTCACTTTGCTCCTATATTTGTAGTACATTTGTTTACATGAACGCCCCATACAAGGGCAGATAGAGTCAAATATGTCCTTTTTAAAATGATTGTAAAATAGATACCTTCGTGGTTGTTGGCGTTGTGGATTTGGTCATGGGCGTTCATGGTTTCACCTTCCTCTATGGAAATAATATCTTCATACGTTAAGTGCGGAAATTGGGCCATTTCTTCAGCAGTTGGTGCGTAAACCAGCTCTATCTCAAGAGCAATATGATAAACACTAAGCAGCTGAGGTTCATTGAACATCATCTCCAAGACTGGTTGGCTGCAAACAATGGGGTGTCCCCCAACGAGATCTGAAACATATTATTTTAAGAAAAAGTTATTTGTGTTTAGTTGCCGTAAATAAGAAACGTTTTCTATAGTCTAATGAAAAATTAACAATAAACTTGTTACGTACTTCTTATGGCTGCGTGATGTTCTTCTTGTTATCCCCGCGTCTAGAAAACTTGTCTCACCAATTCTGAAAGGTGAGCGACAAAGAAATTGATATTTAGCGACAAGTTCAGGGCCACTGGTCACGCACAATACCGGTGTCGTCATAAACTCCGTTGCAGTCAACATTGTCTCCACATCTGCATCGGTTGCAACATTATTCGGTGGAAGGAGGATCATATCAGGGACCCGATATGTTAAGGCAACTGGAGTAAGCACCCCGAGTTCAAGCCGTATACGAATCATCTCCACAACACCTTCGAACGGATCGCCGTGGTTTATTACAACAGTATCGTTCTCGGTGATGGGGTTTTCAGAAAACCACCACTCCCCCGTCGCCGTCTTCTCCCATACGCCTTGTACAACTCTTACAATCGTACCCATCTGAAATATATAGGGGAAAACAATATATCGACGTCACTCTCAAGTTTCAAATAATAGCCCTATAGACGTTCTACTTAAATTTATAAATTATGTTGTTTTTATCTATCATGAACCCTAGAAAGAGATCTGTAATATACCTCGAAAGCTGCTACAAGGTAGAAAATCCAGAAGCTGGATGAGGAAACCGAAAAGGTATCTTGGTTTCTTACTTAAACGATGATGCTGGAAGTCTCATTTTATAGCCAAAAAGGATATATACTTACACATATACATGTCTTCAGGTCGCTTCTGGAAGAGTGCATTAAATGCGAAGCCGGCTACCTAGTCGTAGGGGTCACTGTTCATGATAAGTGTAGCTGCAGAGGAAAATATCTCTGACACACTAACGTAATTTTCTTAAATATAAATACCGTCATTATCTTCAAGATGTCGGTTTAGTTTCAATTTTTCCAGGTTTTATTAGATTGTAATTGTAATATGTGCGTGAACCAGTTTGGTTTACGTCCAATTAATGCCGAGTGAGTTGATATTTTCGACCAAAGAAGTATACAATTTCATTTTAAAATGAGTGGATGAGAAAAGGTGACGTGTTAGTTACGAGAAACTTCGTTTTCTAACATTAAAAACTCATCCCTTTGCTCTTACTCATCTTCATCTTCTTTTTCCTCATATCTAAGTACAATGGCCTTGAGTCAAAATTCGGAGGCCTCTATTTATTCAACGAGAAGCTCCAATGGCCCTTTATGTCATTGTTCACAACCGACTGTCTTGAAGATATCATGGAGCGATGACAATCCAGGGAGGAGATATTACAAGTGTGAAGACCATGGATTTCTTCTATGGCATGACAAGGAACGAGCGTGCCTTTGGCAGAAGCAGAGTCTGTTGGAGGCGAGGGAGAAGATACTGACACAGACGGAAGAAATTAAGGCTTTGTGTGCCTCTCTCCGTCAAGCACATGGTCAGCTTGCTGCATTAGAGATTTCAAGTTCTTCGTGTTCTGTGAATGAAACTCTGAAGTCCATTGAAAATTGCGTGACGGCGCACATCATTGAGACAGAGAAGGTCTTACGTAAATTCGTTCGCTATTCAGGTGGAGGTTTTGTCTTAGCTACTGCTTTACTCGTTTTTTTCCTTAAAAAGTAGATCTCTGTCCAATGTCGTAACTGTGGTCATGTTTTTCAACTGTTTGTGTTCAACAAACAAGTTCATCAATCTCTATCGTTCGTAATATATAAATGGAATGTAACCTACAAAAGTGTCCTTTAATTCCAAAAATTAAAGTTAATTTCACGTTCACCTTTTCAACATCACCCGAAACGGATCGTTGCATATGCGACAAAGTTTGTATTCCACTTTAGGAGTACCAGAAGTTGACTATATGTTAACCATCACCCGAAATTAGCACATTCAATTAACTCTGCCAAGCCCATAATCCAAGTACAGTTTACATCAGCTAAATAATTTCGGTAAAATTTTTTGGTTGCCGATTCTGTTGTAATCTTTACGTTACCGAAATCGATATATTTCCTTATCTACTTGTATTTAATCAACACCCATGTTGGGCTAAATTGTCCACCATTACATCTTTCTCACCCGAAGAGCATATAAATTTAAAGGCGCCATTACACTTATGACAATATCTGCAAAAAAATGTTATTCGGTTTTAAATTTACTTTCTCGTCGATAGGTGAACATCACGCGCTAAGCTGAACAGCTTTCTGATTCAAAATTTGTCCGAATATTGGACGACAAAAAGTCACTTCACCTTTCATATCACTTACATATTCACTTCACTTCATATTGGTGATAGGGACAAATTGGTAAGTACAGGAACCCCGTTTGACAATCATACCCAATAAAAAAAGTTAACCCCTTTTGTACCTAAATAACTTTCATATCTTGTATATTGGCGCAAATCACTCATTACTTAATATGATTATAACATATATATGACAATTAATGATTCGAATATGAAGACTTGATAATAAAAATTTATAGCCTCTACTATTTTTTTTAAACTTATATTATGAAAATAAATTAAACAATAACATTAACTATATAACAAAAAAATAGATTTTTTGATATATGTTATATTTTGAATTCTTAAAAACGACTATAAATTAATAAAAGATTTAAAAAATTCACATATAATATTTTTGATTAGTAGTTTAAATCCCCTATATATTAATTTATATTCTGGAGAATTACAACATTTTTTTGTAGCCACGTGTCACAATGAGAAGGATTTTCATAACTCTAAGAGAAATATGTTGGTCCAACTAAACATATGTTATATTTTTATTATACTAACTATCATATTAAATTAGTAGTGTACCAAATAATATTTACTATTCTTTCCTTAGATAAAAGTTACAGAATTATCTAATATGATTAACATATATATCACAATTAATGTTTATGAATAATAAAGACTTGATAACAATTTTTTATCATCTTTACTTTTTATTTAATTTTATATTATTAAAATAAATTAAAAAAATCACATTAATCATATAATAAAAATTAGATTTTTTCTTATATGTTATATTTTAAAAATTTTAAAACAAATCATAAATTACAAAAAATGGTAAAAATCTCACATTAAATATTTTGTGATCAAGGGTAACGTTTTCTAGTTCAGCCAATCGTTTTTCTAATGAGTATTTAACAGTTCATAATGATTAACTAAATGGATCACGCATAATAGAGTGTGTTTCGTTTAAAAACTATTACATACCCAAAATCAATATGAACCATCATCCCATTCGTTTAAACTTTTGTTAAAATAAAAATATATGGTTTGGGGGAAAAAAAATGAATCCAGATAACCAAACCAAATCTAATCCAAAAAGTAGTAAATAATTTTAACCAAAAACTCATAGATATCCAAACGGATTCAAAACTTTGATATCTAGAGAACCAAAACTGAATCGAAATATTTCGGGTATCCGAGTGTACTCGAACTATATTTATATACTTAAATATATTAATTATTTTTAAATTTAACATCTAAGCATATAAAAAATACATGAGACTTTTTAAAAATTTCCAAAATACTTAGAAATATATAAAATAGCTAAACGTACATTTTAAAATAGCTAAACGATACTCCAAATACCAAAAATATTTGAAATATTTATTGATTTTTTTCCCATATATAAACCAATTATATGTTAAGTTTAAGTATTTTGCATTCATTTTTAAAATTTATATGTTATATATTATTTTTATTTTTAGATTTTGAAAAATTAAAGTATATATGAATTTAAATCTTAAAAAATAAAATAAATGAGTTATCCGAAGCTGCAAAGATTCGAACCTAACCGCAAAAATCTAAACCAAACATAATTTAACCGAACCAAATGGTACCCAAATGTTCATCCCTAATTAAACGTAAAAAGAGGTTATTGATAGAAAAATATGTATTTAAATATAACATATTTTAAAAAGTTACCCAGCGCATGGCGCAGATTATCATCTAGTTATATATTAATTGGGAATCGTTATAACATGTGAATTTTGTATCAATAGATTTGCATTATGTACGAGTTTATATTAATAATTTTTTTCTTAATTTTAAAATAAGAAAGCTAAACGATTTATATACATTTTCGATGAAATTGTATTCAAAGTCTGACTATTACTTTTTCCTACTAGGTAATTTTCCCGTGCTCATGCACGAATATAAATATTCATAAAAATAAAATTTATAATCATTGATTGATATTTAGTTTTAGTTTTGTATCAATTTATATGTATAATTTATATTAATAAATATTATATTATTCTAATTATATATATGACTTTGGATATATTATTGTCGGTTTAATTATTTTTTGGATCAATAGTTGGTTTGGTTATCAATTTGGTATATTGGATAATATTGATTTTTCGAATTCAGCAATAATATTTTTTATTGTAAATATAATAAAACTTTGATTAATTTTCTTATTTTCATTTCGATTAGTTATTGTCTTAGATATGTAAATATATTCTTAGATATGTAAATATATTATAATTAAATTATATATAACTTAATATATATATATATGTTGTGCTTAAACTAAAATAAATAATAAGCTGAAGTGTTTGATTCAAAATTACATAAATAAATATAACGATATATTTTGAAGTCTCATGCATATATACAAATTCTACAAAAGAATAAATAGTAATTGGTTAATATTTTCTTTTTCTTTTTCTTTTTAATATGCTTTGAGTCAACCTCTAATTTATATGTATAAAATTAAATAGATTATTATTACTATAAATTATATGTTCTTATTGTAGTTAGATGTTTGATTTTGGATATAAATTAGATTAGTCGAGTCATTCATGTTGTGAGTATATTGAGTTAAAATTGAAGTATAATTACTTTTTTTTTAGTTAAGTCCAATCAAATTAGTTATATTTATCGCTTAAATATAGATGTGTTTTCATAATATTTATTTATTCCTTATTTTAGTTAAGTCAAATCAAATTAGTTTATTTATCGCTTAAATATACAAGTATTTTCATAATATTTATCAAATTATATGTTGATTTCTAAAAAAATATTAGAAAATAAAGTGTAACTGATAAATTTTGGATGTTCATGAGCATATATATTTTTATTATTTTGAAAATATACTGTATGTTATTTAAAATATATATTAATGGGGTATATTACTATTTTGTGAACTTTCTTTTTTAATAAAATCATATTATATACATATATTTTCGTTTTTAAATCTGCTTTAAAATTTTAGAAATATTTCATTTTTATTATATATGCTATTTGGAAAAAGTTAGAAAAGAAACTAAATAAAAAATTAATATTAAACTTAAAATCTAACAATTCATTAAGGGTATCTACGTAATCAACCATCGCGAGAGTTAACGTGAGCGTGACACGTAGAAAACTGACTCCTCAAATAATATTATAGAGATATATATTTTATAAAATTATGGTATTATTGACATTTTTGAAATAACAAATAAAAATGATGATTTATCATAATATAATTGGAGGTCTTAAATTTTATGTGAACACTCTGATTTATAACTCAACTTTAAACTTTAGAAATAATGTGTTTTAAATTTATATAGTTATAATTAATTATTATGTGTGTTAATTAAATTTATGTTAATTTTCGAAATTATTTATATACTAAATCAACTTATATATAAGTTAATTTAGTATATAAATAATTGGTTTCGAAAATTAACATATATAGAAGTTAATTTAGTATATAAATAATTTCAAAAATTAACATAAATTTAGTATTGTTTTTACTTTTGTAAGTTTACTATATTGATATTAATTTATATTTTATTTTGAAATAAAACGATTTTTTGGTAATATTAACATTTTTAGAAGAACAACAAAAGATGATGATTTATTATAATACGTTTTGTGGTTTTAAATCCTATATGGACGTCTTTGATCTATTATAGCATCAGCTTGTATATAATATAGATTAATAAAAGTTGTTTAGATTTTTTCAAGAAACAAGTTGGTTCATCTATACATCTCTATAATATGTATTTGAGAAGTCAGTTTCATAAGTGACATTTTTATGTTAGTTATTAAAATGATTAATTACAATAATATAGTTGAAAAATTACTTTAATTAGTAAATATCATAAGTAATCTACTTTACTTAACTTTCTTTTTTAAAATATTTTTTTTCCAAATAACCTTATGATCTAAAAGGAAATATTTTTCATAATTGCAAGGATAACATTAATGAATTAATTTAATTATTTTAATATCATTATAAAATATTTTTTTTTAACTTTCCTTTTGTGTCAATATTTGTTTCCAAATCACCTTATTACCAAAAGTCAATATCTTTCATATTTGCAATGATAATCTCAATGAACTGATTTAATTATTAAAGTGTCATTATTAATATATTTTATTTAAATTTATTTTTTTAAATATTTTTTTTTCAAACCACCTTATTATCGAAAATGTAATATAAATCATACATATATAGAAAATATTAGATTTAAACATCTAATTTAATAAAAAACAAAAACAAAATTTCTTTTATATAAATAAAAAGGAATTTAATATAAAAACAACATTATCTATACAAATAAAAATATCAATTTTTATATCTAAAACATGTACGAATTTATTTTATATAGATAAAAAGGAATATAATTTAAAAGATAATAGATTTAATATACAAATAACCACTTTTTGTCATTCATATTGATTCAGAGTTGTCAGTTTGGTTTGCAGAATTTTAGTTGAGTCTGTTTATTGACAACAAGAAATACTGCAAGTTTTTTGTTTAAAACCTAGTATTTAAGAAAAACTGATTGTTATATATATATATATATATATATATATATATATATATATATATATATATATATATATTGAATCTAATATAAAAAAAAAGGTTAAATTATTTTAGCAATATATCTAATATTTGAAACACGCGGTTTAAAAAAAAATTATTTTTGAAATCTCAAATTCATAAAAACTCATTTTTTCTTAAATCAGTTTTCTTTACAATTTTAACATTAGTTATAAACATCTTAATTACTATTTAATTTTTAATCAGTTTTATTCTCTAAATCAATTGTTTTACTTAATTATCAATATATGATTTTTGTCTTATTCATAAAAATCATGTCTTTCTCTGTTAAAAAAAACTATACCCTTCATTTTTATCAAAGATCATTCAACTTTCAATAGATAAAAGATCAATATCTTATATAATAAATTTGACTTTTCTCCCTTCTTAGGGTGTCCACATCAGCAAGTAGAGGGGGCAAAAAAAGACACGTCAGCGCCTGACCAAACTGTGTTCTCCTCTTTATAATTTTGGTTCTGTAATTGATTTATTTTGTCATCAATTGCGTCTGGCCCATAGAAACAACCCAAGCCCATATTGCTATTAGGTTTCTGCTTCTTCTCTGCGTCTCCCACCAAGAGCCGACGCCATCTCACAAAACTTAAACGTCTTTCTGATCACGGTTACGGCTCTAACTCGCATTAACTCTTAGTTTTTCCATCACTATCCCACTCCTCCCACTGTGACGCATTCAAGCGATCTCTTCACATACCACCTGACCCCTAAAAACTCCACTATAAATATCAGACCCTTCAAGATGGAAAACACAGCTCAAACGATTAACAAAAGACAACTTTCTTTAACCAAACGATTCCGGCGATGGCGAGTTCATACTCTCTCCTTTCCGATCTAAAAGCTGGCCGGTGCTCTAACACGGCGGAGGTGCGTCTACTCCGATTTTCGGAGGCCAACAAAGTCAGGGATCTCATAAGTGTTGACATGTTGCTCATTGATGAGAAAGTAAGAATCTTTGACTCCGATTAGCCCTCTGGATTTTCTTATATTTTGTTATACTTCGTCGATGAGAATTTTTTTAATATTTTGTTCTAATTCGTTGATTTAATAAACTTTTATTCCGCTTACATTCATTCCATCTTCTTATATTTTTGGTTTGAAGATAAGAAAGGCTAGGAACATTAATGGGAGAGTGTTGACTTTGGGGTCTATAGGTCTACTGATCAGAAACTAATACAATGTTACCAATAGTTCACAAAGGCAAGTTTCAGGGAAGCTATCCCGTCAAGTTAGAAGCATTTGCGACACAGAAATCAACAACCACAAGTTCACAAAGGCAAGTTTTTGGTACAATACTTCTTCCACAACATTTGAGAACAAACACAATCCCTATACTGCCCCACTATTTATTTATTTTCTGTTAAGCAGCTGCATAGTCTCATTGCCTTCCTTCATGTCTTCAAACTGAGAGTCCGTCCTCTGAGGCCATTGACTCATGAAACATGTGTTTCTATTTCCCATTACAATTTTCAGAAAAAAACTCAGGATGAATCTATTCTATTAAAATAGAGTCATTCTTTTTATCTAATGATACAAGTTATCATTTAAATTTGGACTCTTTCTAAAGTGTTACAAATAATATAATTCTTATAATTGACTGAACCGCATTACTTAAATTAAACCAACACAATTAATGTAACATGGTGACCTTAATGTAAAGTATCTTCAAAATACGGCAGATATCTATGTGTCTACCAAAAACACATATTTTCTCCTACAAGTATGGAATGTTCTAAAATAATATATATTATCAAAATATGGAATATGGAAATCTACTAACTATATTAATGTGGAAATCATAATATACCATTTAGCATCTTAACAATTCCTTAAAAAATGGAAATTTAATAATTATATGAAACCAATGGAAATCTACTCTATTAAAATAGAGACTTTCTTTTTATCTATTAATACAAATTGTCATTTAAATTTGGACACTTTCTAGAGTGTTACAACAAGCCATATAGTTAATTGAACCGCATTACTTAAATTACACCGATGGTTATTTATGGGATATAGTTTTGGGCTTACTTTTGTTTTTATGACAAATTATATGGTTTGATTTTTAGGCTTACTATTAATGAAAAACTCCAAAAAACATTGAATAAAATTTCTATCTTAATGGATCAACAAATCAATTATTATTTTCAGGCCCAAATGTATTTAATATTTTTAACAAAACAAAATTGTCTATTATTAATCATTTATTTAAATCATGTACTTTAAAACATGTTATTGTATTTTTTATTTTAAATAACAATCACTATTTGATAAATTTCAATGGTAACTTTTAAATAATTTATTGTTTTATTTTTCTTAAATAATTTACTGATTTTTAAAAAAAATGTAAAGCAAAACCAAAAACCAATTCTAAAAACTAAAATCCAAAACCAAAAGCTGAAAACGCATTGTTTTGGATAACATATTGTTATAGTTTTTGCTTTTGTTTATTTACAAAATAAACTATTGCAATTTTTTTTTAAAAAAAAATTGTCATCTTTTCAGTTTTAAATCAGATGTTCGATTATTTGAAATTTGTTTGTTGGTAATATCAGTTCAAACTAACCCAGTGGATCTAAAAATTAAAAACCCAAACAAAAGCTGAAAATCAAAAATAGAAACTTAAAAACTAAAAACCAAAATTTAAAAATAGAAACTGAAACTAAAAAGTAATGAAAAAATCGTCACCACAAATTTTGATAAACTGATTTTATACCAAAACATTCTTTAAATTAAGACATAACCTAATTATATAAATTTTAGTTATAAAAAATTTCCGCGCTTTCAAGCGCGGGTTAAAATCTAGTTATGACTTTAAAGCTTGGTTGCATATCTTCACTCTACATCAAAATGTATGTGCAAGTACCTAACTTTTTATTTCTTATCTTACTGAATATTAGACTCATGTATGAGACAGTAAAGTTATTTTTTCCTTCTATCGTGCAGAAGGACAGTTGCAACGCTGGAGATGCAGATGATGTAGATTAAAGGAAGCTTAAATCAGCAAACTGAAACCTGAAATGAGTTGTGAGGTACCTTCTCTTGAAGCCCTGATTTGTGTAGAGTGAATTCAAAGGAAGTATGGATCAAAACTCAGAAATACAGTTTGTGAAAAGAAACAGGAAGATATTCAATTAACTAAGGATTTAATCGCTAGGCTTGGTGCTGGTGCAAATTCTGGCTCTGCTACTACTGCAAAAAAATTAAGCAAGCTGCACAAGCTTACTTCACTACTCTTGCCTACTCTTTTACTTTGCTGATTAACGATTGAAATGTCCACAATTTATTAAGCATAGGGTTTGTCACTTTTCTTTCTTGCTCTTTTACTTGACTATGGAAATTTGAAGTTATGTTTCCCTTTTTGCCTGGGTTTATAACAGAAACTTGAGAAGCTCCAAGAACAGAAGCTCATAGAGAAGCTATTTCAGCCATAACAGATGAAAATTTGGTCTCCATAGAGTGGAACAAGTGGAAGATCGGATGTTGATTTTGGTTTCAAGGATAAGGTGAGTTACTACTAACTTGAATCAAAGTCATGACAAAGGATATTATTTATGTTTGACCCTGTTAAAAAGTGTATTATTGCTTCTGCTCTATCTTCTCCTTTACTGCTGCTACTGCATTGTATTTGCGTATCAAGATCAGTAAATCAATCTCCAAATCTTGTTTTTGTTGCAGAAATGCAAATGAATTATACATGATTTTTATTAAAATGCTCACACTAGATCAATGTCCAAGCGCATTTTGGAATCTTACTTACTCATGACAAGTCCTGAATAAGGAACTAAAATATAATTGTACTAGCTAGCATGACGCAAAATTTCATCCCTGTAGCATTGTTTTTTTTTATAAACTCAACACTTACTGCCCAGAACTAATCTCACGGAGTTCATTTAATGCGAGCTTAACAAATAAAAAATATTTACCTTTGCTACAAATATGCAATTAAACTTCCCTTGCTTATAAATTATGATCGTCTTGTTTTTTGATTCACAATCAATTTTTTTTTCAAGGTCTTGGTTTTTTCGCTTGGTTAATCTAGGACATGCGTTAGGATTTGTAGGATAATCGTTGAGACTTTAGACAATTAAAAATTTATATTGTTTTGATGTTATGTAGGATAATGTGTCATGTGTTTTTGCTTTGCTTTTATTTTTCAGAAGAGAGAGATCTTTCATGATTTGGCTTCGCTGTTATGGCACATTGTTGGCACCGTTCCTGCTCTTCTACAGGTACTCTTCATCCATTAAAACTGAGTGGAACTTTCACATGGTGAAAACAAAATCGAACTACCACACTTACACTTTAGCCGTTGGGATCCGGAGTGGGAAGATGACTATATAATAAGTTCTCTTGAACTGGTATAAACAAATCTCAAAAGTTCATAACATATACTGTCCCAAGAACTGGGCTTTTCAATAGATTTTCTTAACTTTTCAAAACTGATAATTTTAACTTGGACAAGGTATAGATGATTGCACATCAATGGAGGAAAGCTCAAGAATCACTGGTCATTCACTTATCACCTCAATATCTTAAGCAGAGGAGGCGTGGATGCCATTGAGAACCTAAGCTCTCACTTATCGTCTGCTGTATCATCCTCTCTTGATGTTTCTGAAGTTGCTAACGCCAGATTTCTTATTTTCATTGATCCTGAGTTAACTAATTCGTTTGAATTTACAGATTTGGATCAAAATTCATGGTTTATCTGAAAATTTACCCTTTCTTCTGTCATATTCGTTGAAACTCTGAGAATGATGCATGTGCTAAGATCAACTCCATGGTCATCACATACTGTGAAGACTGGATAGAACCCAAGAGTGATCACAGTCAGAGGATTGTAGAGATCACAAAAACGCAGGGAATTATCTTCTTAGTGAAAACTTTGTAATTTTAAGATTTCAGTCTCCATAAAACAAACCCATAAAACGCAATGCATCAGACATTATAGCTGGTTTTTAAATCGTGGTGACGATAGGAATTTTGTCGTTGGTGCAAACAGGTGTATGATCGTTCGTGTTCAACGCTCAGGAAAAGACCAAAGGACGTACCAAGATTGAGTCCATTGAGGAAGTTAGAATTCCAGCATTTGACACTTATTCAGAGCGTTTCAAGATGAGAAACTGTTTAAGCAGGCCAATGGTGATGCAAATAGGTTTCAAGAGAGTAGTGTTGCATACATATCAAACTTATTTTCTTCGTGCATGTGGTTTGAGGATTTTACAAAAACTTCATTTTTTCTTAATATTCTTTATTTGTTTAGTTAAGATTTGTATAGTTTAATATTTGGAACTAAAGAAAACTAATTTATTCTCAATCAATCAGTATATTATGAGTCATGTTAGTCATGTTAATTTTTAATAACAAACAAATCTATTAGGCTTTACGCTGACAGATACGTCATGAGCTTCAGATTTGCGATTTCAAATGGTATAGTTCCACTTAAAAATTATTGCCGAGTTCGAGGTAAACTAAACGGGGCAAGATGGATACTGAAACCAATCTTTTTACCATGTAAAATATATAATCAAATTAACTAATTATAATAATAATTAAACTAAAACCTACATTACTAATAAAATTTACAATAAAATCTAGAATAAAAACAGATTATTTATTATTTTTAAATTTGTATAAAATTAAAATATATTTAATATAAAATATTATTAATGTAAAATTACCCGCACGTAGGGCGGGCCAACCCTAGTTAATATCATAAAGTGACAATGTAACTAAAGAAGACTTCAAATAATTTAGTTGGCTAGAACTCTTATTGAAACAACTGTAATATCTATGGTCTATGTATGTTGTTATTTCACTAGAAACAAGTTTTCTATTTAAGATGTAGTAAATACAATCTAAACTATTAAAGCTGAAGTACATTTTGTACTTAACCCTATGTTTTCCTCAATATTTACCAAAATATGCCACTAGAATTAAAACTCAACATGTTACCTCTTTAACTAACCAAAACTCACGTCTGCCTAATAATTATTAACCCGTGCAATTAAACCATACCAAAAATTACGTCCACCTATTAGTTATTAACCCATACAATTGCTAAACCATTCCTTAACCGTGCAACCACTTATCTACATATCATTATAACATTTACTAACACACATACATTTTGTCTTCTTACTAAACCATCAATTACAATCTGCATTTCAAAACACTGAACATATAGTTGCTGGTTACCTGCATACCGTTGTATATCATTCATAAACTTTCGAATGCCATTTTTATATTATCTTAGTTCATCCCATCAGATTGTTGGCTTTGATCCGCAAATATATGTCATACAATAAGATCATAGTTTATATCAATATTTCTAGAAATCATGTAATTTGACTTCGATACTAACTTCTAAACAAATTTTTTTTCAAGATCAATGGTTTAATTCACATTAAAAAGCAATTTTTTTTCCAAAATTTTTTACCTTAACTTATGTATTCCTATATTTAAGCTAATAAGATATCAATTAACCCCCACAGAATCCTTTTTGGCTCTCTGATCTTGCAAATCACGTTCAAAAAATGTTTATTAACCTCAACATAATAACCTTCCATAATGTATATCTAATCTATTAAAAGAGAAATACACAAAACAAATAATCTTTAGTTTTTCTCAAAAATTATAATAGAATGTCATTGCAATTAAAACACTGTAGTTTTACTTTTATATGAACTTGGATATAGGCTGAAAGGTCTACTAATATTAAATCAAAACCAAATTGTCCAATTCAATTTAAAAATAGCATTTGTTAATAAAATAGTTAAAACTCTTATTTTGTGTGAATCTTTTTGTTTGTTACTGTCTGAATAATTTTTAAAAAAAAAAATATCTAAAAAATCTAAATTTAAATTATAATTTCAATTACAAAATTTATACTTTAATTTAACAAAATACACACAATTTAACTAAGATACTCTAATATTTTACATTTAATTATTTAGTTTACCAAGTAAAAAAAAAAGTACAATATAAAAAAACACAACTTGATAGATAGAAAACACACTAAACAAAATGAACAAGATACACCGACATTAAAACTCAATAACCTATGAAGCATAAATATGAATGTTTTTTACGACTAATACAAACATATATTTATACAAAACATATATCCGCGCGGGCGCGCGGGTCAAAAGCTAGTTTTCACTTAATTGTGCTTTCCAAAAAGAATTCCAAATATGTTATTTACAAGAAGTTTTCTAAAACATTAAGTAATTTTAATTGAAATTATGTTTATGTCTTTTTAAAGACTATGCGATTGTTTTTGATTAAAAGGATAAATCCTCACTTCAATAGAGTGGTCTTATTTTTTTTTCAATTTTAGAATTTTGTTAGTTTATAAATTTTATAAGTGATTTGTCTGTTTTCAAAAATTCACAAACCCTAATAATAAAAAATAAAAAATTATAATTAAAATAACCACACAAACGATACAAATTAAATACACCAAATTTAAAAATATATATATTATAGTAACTAAATGTTTTAAAAAATTCAGTGCGCTAAAATATCAAAATTTAATAACTTATAAATAATAGTCTTAACTAAAAGAAAATAAAATATAAAACTAACTAAATAAAACAAAATAAATATTAATAAATCTGCAATTTATATTCCTTCCCGTGTCTAGTACATTATGGTTCTCATTAAGCTGGCCATAAAATTAATTAATAATCTACAAAAAAAATATTTTCCCTTTACTATTTAAATAAAAGTTAGAGAATTACCTAATGTGATTAAATATAAATAAAAACTAGTGATTTTGAATAATAAAATTTTGATAACAATTTATGTATCTTCTATTATTCATTTTAATTTTCTACTATTAAAATGTTTTAAATCACATTAATCATATAATAAATTTTTAAATTTCATGTTATATTTTTTATTTTTAAAACGACTATAAATTACCGACAATTTACACAAGTTAGATGCTTCCACATGTATCAAGTTGTTTCCTCACTTGCATCCGACAACACCTGACCAACTTAACTGATAACCTCTAGGCACATCACTCATCTCTGTTATCCTGTAACAATAATCTCTCAAGTCGTTTCTTTCGGTATCTCCAAGCCACTTGAATCTGCATAGCTGCTCGTAGCCTCCAATAAGGAGACTCATACCTTATGGCTCCTTGCACTCGGTGGCTTCTTAGGAATCTTGTGAACAAGCTCGTTACATCTTCAAGATCTGCTACGCTCAGCGAAAACGCCTCCACGTTTGTCACGCACCTAACATTTCTGTTGCTAACCAATCCCTTTGTCGGCATCTTTATTCTCGTCCCATCTGCAAGTTTCATAACATTTTCAGTTACAATCTTTGAGATTTGCAAACACTTAAGAGCACAAAGCTATCTATTAGCTAAAGGGGACGTACCAGGGCTAACAGAAGAGCGTTCGAGACACCAAGTGAGAAGTTCTTCACCACAAACGTCTCCTTCAGATAATGGCAAAACAGAACCATCTTCTCCAATGCTCTCCATCTCACCTCTCACTATGAATACCATTTTCTCAACTAGACCTTTGCGGTGCAGCACCGTGCTATTCCTTATGTAAGTCCTTTGTTTCAGCCTCTCACGTATAGCATCTAAGATTGATTCATCCATCAACGAAAATATCCTCACCTGCAAACCAATAACAGTTCATAGCCTTATGGTTGAGGATTACCTCTTTGGAGAAACAGATTTATGGTGAAATGTATTCATTGTTCTGATGCTCTTATAACCTTTTTGAGAAACTTGAAGAGATGGCGTTTTATATCTCTTTGAAGATCATCAGGCATATTCTCAAAAAGCAGCTCCTCGTTAACTCCTCTAGTAGCAGCCCAGTTGAACCGCTCAGCCTCTCGCACCCTCCTGCGTTTGTTGGACAAAGTAGTGAGTTAGTTCAGCCCAATTCAAATGAGAAGCAAAGTTTAAAGAGCACATATACTTTCTTATATCCTCTGGCAACAGTCTATGGCTCATCCACTGCTCCACATCACGCCGTCTCAACATCATTTCCATCCTCCTACAAGCACAAATCATCATCATCACACTTGGTCAATCAAAAAATGAGTCACCATTTTTTATAAGTATTTTGTCTCTTGAAACATTATTGATGAAGTATATATATATATATACCTTCTATCAAGAGCTTGAAGGAAGTTATGCATATTACCGATAAGCCGAGCAAAAAGCATAAGCCCTAGTCCAATGATCCCCATTGTAAAGTAAACCTCCCCCACTGAGTAAGATGGGGTTAGGTTTCCGCAAAGTGTGCTTATTTGCTTTCAGAATTGAAACACACAAAAAAAAAAAAAACAGTTTGACAATAGGTATGAGTGATTAAAAAGATTATATAGTTTTAGTAACAATCAACCTAATCTACCTGGAAGCCCCAAAACAGAGAGTAGCTGAATCTTTCGAAGATATCATGTTTAGTAGTAAGATTTACTGTCTTCAAATATATCCCAAATGAATAGCCATCCTCTTGAAAACAACCATTAGCATTATCTCTCCAGGGAGCTCGTTGTGATGCATTGATATCCCCACGAGCACAGTCTATAAGATTTCTACGTACTTCCATCTTATAATCCCCAGCATTTAACAAGCATTTCTTAACTCTCTGACAAAACAAAACAAAAACAATACAAACATGAGAATAATCAATAACGAAAAAGAAAAAAGAGAGAATCATCAATAAAGGAATTGTGAAAACATTAGTACTACTGACTTATATATATATATATATATATATATACCTGAAGCCCTGCAAGATACCAGCAAGAACCAACAACATGACCATCAAGAATGAAGGTGAGAAGATTAATAATAAAGTTAGCCCAAGCCGACTCAAAGATGAACCCTGTCGGTGTTTGTCCAGAAAGAAGAGGAAGAAGCCTAGACAGTTTTGGAATGTACTGAAATAGAAATACTCCACGTATCATGTTCTTCTGAGATTCTGACCGGCGTGTGCCTAAGTGTTCTGGTAGTATCGATAATATCATTATCTGCAACCACACATGAGGTATCAAGAAACATCTTCAAGTTAACATTACTCAAAAAAAAAAAAGACATTTCAAGGGTTACTTAATACTACAAACCTGTGGCATAGGTAAGACTATCAACATGTCAAGAAGAAACTTTCCTCGCAAGTAATTGTAGGCTATTTTTCTTGGATGATCAACTAACTGTCCAGCACCAACTATTCTAGACTCAGGAGCTACATAGGCCAGCCGAAACTGCGAAAAATATGACAAGGAATAAACACACATTAAAGCCAAATAAGTTTCTATACATAGGAGATGAGAGCCCAAAAAAAAAGGCACACCTGAAGCAGGATGTTGATGAAGAAAATAAGATCCGACATAGTTCGTAGAGACACAAATACTTTTGTCCTAATCCAATCAATCTCTATGCATTTGTCGTCCTGTAATAGTCTCAAAACTCATGAAAAACATATACCACAGACAAACAAGAGATTAAGACTAGAGAGCAATAGAAGGATTAACATACATGTCGGATTGATAAGAGGAATACGAAGGCTGGATCAATAAAGATAGCCACCAAGCATGAAAAGGCTAAGAAACGAGTCCAGATTTGAACAAACTTGGAATGAGGATTCATGATCCCAGGTATGCATCTACGAACAGAGGAAGCAAATCGCTTGACCCAGCTTCTAGCATCATCATAAAGAAAACTGTGGAACTAAACAATAATAAAAAAAACAAAGATTCTTGTGTCAGTATGTATAATGTTTTACTTGGGTCTCAAGTTAAGTAGAAGAAAACATACCCTAGAGTCAGAAACTACTCTGTATGTGTGAAACTGAGCAGCTTGGCGGTTGTAGTAAGAAGGACAAGTGGTACAGTAAGGATCATTACACATCCCTAGCTGTCCAGACTTCAACAGATTTGCGTTTTTCAAGACGAATTCATCTTCTTCAGGTGGAACATCAACGGTAGAGTAGGAGGAAGAGGCGGAGGTGGAGGAGCCAAGAGGTTGGACAGGAGAAGGAGGGAAGAAAGACTGATCAGGATTGCGAGGACCACTCATTTGCACAGAGGGAGGAGGTGGTCTTCTCTGTGTTCGAAGAGGGCCTGTGTAGCTTAAAGGAACAGTACTTGAGTCGACAACTCTGTTAGTAGTGGAGTAAGAAGTTGAATTAGAGAAGGAAACGCTACGGTTCCTCGAGTTGAAAGCCCTGTTGTGAGCACGAGATCTTGCTTCTGGAATTGGACGAAGAATGGGAAACTCGTCCGTTTCGTTCGGGGAAGCCATGTTCTGGACGAGAAGATGGTGCCCCCAAAAGCCTAGGTTTAGTTGGAGAAAGGTACAAAACTAGGAAAGAGAGAAGAAGACGATGATGATGATGATGACAGAGACTTAGCCTGTCAAGAATGAAGTATTATATAGTTTTATAGTGAAAAGAAAACCATCGAACGTTGAAGGAATCTTGATTCGTCAAAATGAAAACAAAAATTAAATGTTAAGAGTAACATAAATGACCTTGCACCTCCAGTAGAGTTTCTTAGAACATATTCAACCGCACTCCATAATTTACTACAAAATAGAGTGGAAATAGAGTAATGAACAAACAAAAAAATGATTACTCTATAAATGGAATAATTATCTTTTTGTTTGTTCACTATCCACTCCATTTTGCAGTAAAATTATGAAAATGCTCTTAATGAGAGATTCTTTAAAAAACAGCCAAAAAATAAATTAGAAAGAAAAGAAAATTAAAGAACTTCTTAAAATAGAGTTTTTAGAATCGAACTTCTAACGTATCATTTTCTTATCGGTTCTTTTTGTGTGTCTTTCCCTCTTCTTTGTTTTTTTCTCTCTCTTAAAAAATTATGAGGGGTTTTGTACCATTAGACATGACAAAATAATACATCAACAATTGAAATCGGATTTGGTTGAAAATATATGGCAAAAATTTGAAACAAATCAAGATTTCAACTAATCAGTTTTTCTCGTTTACGATTTATATTTGTATTTTTGAATGCTTTTATGTCATTTTCAATAAAAAAGTTTATGTGTCATTTTCTTTCAAATCATTAAACTTAGAAAAAATATAAAAAAAATAATTTTTAAGAACCGCAATGAGATTCTCCTGAGGAAGAATGAAAAGAATAAATAGATTAACAAAATTCTTAAAGTTATCAAATCACAAAAATAACTATTAATTTATTTTTAAGAATCTATTAGAGTCTCTAATAGATGGAGGTGATCTTACTAATTCTTCCAAAATGGAATAAAATGAAATATAAATTAATACTTCAATCCTACTATATTTTTACTTTTAATGGAGTGAAGAATAAACACAACATAGATTAAATGGAATAAACATTATTATAAAATAAAAATGAAGTAAAATTGAAGTGATTTTTATTTTATATATTTTTACTTCATTTTAAAGGCTATGACTGTATAGTCATTCTGGCGTAACTTTTTACTCCCAAAAGTTATTTACTCTGTATTTCACCAATAATTCACCAATCAGGTGGAAAATGTATTTTCTTTTTTACTCCATTCACTGTTCAAACAAAGAGATGTTACACACCGAACTTTACTCACCCTTTTGCTAGTGTAATACATTTTTGTTTTTTTTTTTTCTTTTTATTGTTTGGATTTCCATCATCTGAATTTACTCCATTTTCCACCTTTAATTTTTACTCTAAATTACTCTGAAGCTACCAATCAACTCTAAATTACTCTGAAGCTACCAATCAGACTCTTAAATGTATCTTTTGTTCAACACGTATGCATCGACGAAACTTCAACAGTATTTCGTTTAGTTTAGTAAGTAAAGCAAAAAGGTTGGAAGAGGGAAAACCTCAGGAAGCTTTCTCTTGTCTGTTAATTCAACATTTCTCATTTATGTTACTATACTTTACAAAATGATTAAATCGTGTAATTATTTTATATAATAAAGTAAAGCAATTAAAAAATAGAAAGAAAGTGTCAAATTTAGATTACTTTAAAAGGAATTAGACTGAAATTCTCACCAAACTCAGGGTTTAGCTTAAACTAATGCATTAACAAAATAATTAAGAATTTAAGAGTGTGAATAAACTAAGCCGTGTTTCTGACATTCAATTCTTTACTTACCCTCCTGTCCTGTCAGGTCTTTGAAGGTCATGCCTTCTTTTCTTCATTTACTAGCATAGATAATACTAATAACGTGTTACTTTTCCTTTTTCAAAAAGGGACATTTATTCATTTATATAAGTCTGCCATAAGATCAATGATTGACATTACTGATCTGGATTCAAAATTAAAATTTCATTTGTCACCAACTACTTACACATGCTATATCTACAGCACCTTCTTTGTTCACCCCGTTTGAATCTCAAAATTCAAAAAGACGGAAAAGCTTTAAAGCCCAATAGTAAATGGGCTGCAACGGCTAATCCAAGTACTTTAGCACGTGTAAACAAATGAGTGGTACAATATCAAATACTTGTTGCTTTGGCGGATTTTGCCTGTTATATGCTCTGCACTGATGCAGCTGAGCAGACGTGTCAGCTCTCTTCCCTTTCTCTCTGTTTCAAGGTTTGTGAAGATGCAAGTGGAGTTTGTATATGTCAATGATCTTCCGTGACGAACTAGGCGACGAAGTCACTGATGCTGCAGGTATTAGTTGTTACTACATAAGGTATGCGGAGTGGTGAATTATCATGTGGATGCAAGATATGCTGAGATGGAGAAGGATAAACTAGAGGTTTATGTCTTGACGTAGTCGTTGAAATAGTTGCTGATGCAGCGTATCAGAGAGTGAACCAGGAGGCTTGCAGAGTGGTAAAGACCATGTGGATGCAAGATGTTGAGCTGGTGTGGGATAAACTTGAGGAGCAAGTTTATACCGTGGAGAAAAGGCAAGAGATAAACTTGAGGAGCAAGTTTATGCCTTGAGGAATAAGTACAAATCCAAGAAAAGAAAAGTGTACTTATTAATATGGAAGTTGTCCATATATCCATGTTGCCTTGGAGACTAGGATTTCATGAACGTGGAGATCACTA